AGGGGGTTACACACCTGATGCAAGAGACTGTAGCTTTGCAGGGGTCACAGCCAGGCGACTGAGAAGTGGAGCATCAAGTCCAGCCTTTTCAGCCAAGTCCAAGTCCACTTTGTTGGCATCCATGATGTCTGACTGACGCTGCAACATCAAGTCCCCCAAGTAGTTGAGCACTTCTGATCTTTGCAATGATGTCAGTGACTGCAGGATCCTGCTTCCTTTGCGAGCTGCAGACATAAAAATATGGCATTTCACACAATGTACTGAATATATTTACAGTACATGAAGGCACACAAATGATTAGCAAGAACTGCTGCTGAGTCAGCATTTTAAGATATGAATGGGCCATTCAGGGAATTTTGTCATTTCTGCAGCCAAAAATATTTTTTTTGGCAAGACATTATAATTAGATATGTCTGTGGGGCTCTGTCAAAAAAATTTCAGAAACAGGACCCCTGGTAAATAAAGCAATTTTAAAAGGGCTCCTGAGGTTTAAAAGATTGAATCTGAATCATATTTTAAAACTCAACAAATAAACTATAAATTTATCTATCAGGGGACTTTCAAGAGTGGTTTGAAAATGAAGGCATTTTGCTTTCATATCTTCAAATAGAACGAATCAATTCGATTATTAATTCATACTGTACAACGGCATTGAAAGCTAATACAGTATTCAGTATTGCAATTGGAATGCGCTTCGCGCGACACCTAGCTGACGCTTAAATAAAATCAAACAGACTGCGTAGCTCTGATTTTCCATCGAGGACGTACCATTTTGTGCCAGAGTTTCAACGGGAAGTCCAACGCTTTTGGCATCAGTGAAGAATGTGCCAACTTTCCGTCCACTGATGGTATTCTGGATTGCCTGAGGGGCTGTTCCATTGACGACCACAACGGAAACCCCACGTTCCAGGGCCCAAGTAGCAGCTTTCACCTGCGTATAATAAATAAATAAAAATTTAAAACATATCTTGATTTATTTTTTGCTGGAGCGTGAAAACGCGCGAATGACTTCACTGTAAGTTGAAAGCAGTTTATATATATTTTGTTGAATTAAATTTTTGTAGCGAGAGTTCTAATTTACCTGTATTCATACCTCTTGCAAAAAAATTTTCATCATTTTTTTTTCGAACCGTGGGAGCAGAAATTAAACGAACGATGAAGCCAATTAAGGGCCTGGCTACTACAATACATGAAAACCCAAAATGTCCTCGCGTCTCATCGTTGTCGTCGTAAAGCATCAAGGTCACACAGCACTCGCATCCCATTCATCATCTTTCGCAGAAAAATAAAATGAAAATAGCCAGCAACTCACCTTGGAATCCATGCCCCCGGTGCCCACTGAGGACTTGTCGCCGAACTTGATGTTGCTGCTGCAATGCGGGCTGAAGGTGCTGAGGAGGCGGGACCCTTCGACTTCGGGCGGGGCGTCGTAGACTCCATTCACGTCCGACATGATGATGAGGAGATCCGCGCCAACCTCGACCGCCAATCTCGCCGCGAGGCTGTCGTTGTCCTTGATGCTGATGACCTGATTCATTGATTGATGATCCATTCATGAATGTGACGATGATGATGATGAGGGAGGAGAAGAATAAGAGGAATATGCCAAATTCAAACTAGGTCAGATGAGACTATTGACGTGCAAGCGGTACGCAAGTATTGTACACAGTAAGACCCGGAGATGTGGAAGTAATTGGTTCATCAAGTTGAAATGTCCCAAAGTTGAGTCTTGTTTTCCCAAAGACTTACTTTATATAAATTTTAATTGGTGTTTCACCGAAGAAATATTAATCAGAATTCCATGAAAAATTTTTTTTGCCACTTGAATTTGATTCAGTGATCATCTTTCAACTCAATACGAGCATATTTGAAGCTTTGAATGCCGTATCTCTGTTCAGTAAATTGAAATTTTGGCAACTGTAAAAATGGCATTCAAGTCACAAATAGAGAAGGAAGTCCCTCTATGCTGGAGGTAATTTTTTTTAATTAGCTGAACGAATGGGAAAATGATGGGGGGAAATATTAAAGAACTTTTCTTGCATAGATCTTAGGGTTTGAAATATCTGTTTTGTGCAATTAAACGTGATGAAAGTATTTTTTCCTGAAACTTATTGGTGATTTTATCATGCAATGTCCTCATGTTGAGTCAGTGTCCACATGCTGAGACTTTTTAATTCATTTTCTATTGGTGAATAAATTTCCCATGTTCCATTGTCCACATGTTGAGGTGTCTGCATGTGGGGGTCTCACTGTACTGCACAATGAATTACAGTGAGACCTCAATATGTGGACACCCCAAAATATGGACAATTTAATTTGGGGACACTTAAACACCAAAAAAATCAGGCACAACATCCTGACATTAGGGAAAACTTTCTGATGTTTTCCAAGAAAATCAAAACATTCATGATAAACTCAATCTAATTCATAATCAAAAGCTAGCTGATTTTGTGCTTATTTTTTCAGAGTTTTTTCTATCATCTGCCCATATTCTAGCAAGACTTATTCTTTTTCTTTGCTTTTTGACCTCTTTTTGATACCAAAAAATAAGATTCTATGTGGTTTTGTTCTGCGCTGTTTTCTATGTCTTGAAGATGAGGGAAGCAATTTTCATTAAATTTTTGTTGAAGTATTATATCTAATTTTTTTCACAAGAAGGGAGCTACTGTATTTGAATTCATAAGCATTGAAGTCTAAGGGAAAATGAGACTCAACTTAGGGACATTCAGACATCAGGACACTTGTGATGCACCAATTATGTCCACATCTTGGGGCTTACTGTATTGCTCACAAGTCACAATGAATTTGTTTTATAGTCCTATGCCCACTAGCAACAATTCTATTTAAATTTCTCCTGTATCAATTTTGCTTTTTTTGTTTTTAAATAACAAAGCTTTCATCCTGCTCCTAAATATCAAGAAAAAAGAAATATTGCTAAAATTAACATGATATTTTTAATGAACAAAATCCATCTTCCTATTAATTTTAAATTTTTTTTTTACAATAAGAAAATCCGTTTTTGGATTTTGAATCAATCTTACTGCCACTTACACCAGCAGTTTCAGGAATGACGCAGATATTTTTAATGAACAAAATCCATCTTCCTATTAATTTTAAATTTTTTTTTTACAATAAGAAAATCCGTTTTTGGATTTTGAATCAATCTTACTGCCACTTACACCAGCAGTTTCAGGAATGACGCTCGCAGGAGGAGAAACTGCATCATTCGTGTTGACAATTGGCAGAATATTCAAATTGATCAGCTCCGAAATGGTCGCGTACAAGTTCTTCCGAGTTTCATCATGATGGAAATCCGGAACCGTGACAAGCACCTGCATCATTTCAAAAACAACGCAAAAATGTGTTTAAAATTTTCGAATTACAGTATAATCGATGTTTTTCCAAACACAATTCTGGAATATTAAAAAATCAATTATTCCCTTGCCTGCGCAACTTTGGCACCATATTGACCAAACATGGCTTCGTAGAGTGACATCAAACCAGACTGTCCAACAGAAGCAGCAGCTCGTGGATCCAAAACTCCCATGTTCTATTTTTGAACAGAAGATTGCAAAAAAAATTACGTAAAAACAAACTCTAATTTTCAATAAATGATAATCCACAATATCCCAAGTATACTAGAGAAATTCTGAAGTCGCAGAAAGAGGTTTAAAATTTTTAAAATTAAAACAGCACTGCTTGGAAATGAGGATCTGATGGGAAAACTGAAATTGAGATTTCCCAAAATAACTCGAATCAATACAATAAAAATGCCTTCAACTTTTGACTAAGAACTCATCGGAACTCTAAACAAGATTTTCGTTTAGAAGTCTATACGAACTTGTAAAAAGCCAGTTTCTTTGTAATATGTACTCGTCAGCTTCTAAATGATTCATCGGTTAAATTTTATTTACTCAATTTTTGTTCATCTTTGGAGACTTTTTTCTAAATTTTTATTTTTTCATAAGCTCCTGTTAAAATAAATGTTGTGACAGAACCCCTTCGGCTTATTATTTCGTGCCTTGCAAATAAATATTTCCTGGTTATGTATACATGATAAAATTCCGTGAATGACCTTCATTTCTTGAAATACGGACACAGACAATTTTGCTTGTTAATTTTAAGATTCTCTCCTATTTTTAACTGAATATTTTTTTTTTCAAACATTTTCCTTGAACCTCCTCGTTGATTTTTGGGAAGCTTTCAGCGCACAGATTCAGAAAACTCCTAGAATGAATTTATTTCTCACATCTACTGTATTTGCTTAATCTGACTTGAAAATATTCTGAGGAATTACCGCAAATCCTTTCTTTGGGTCCTTGGAAAGCGTTTCTCGCATGGACATTGACATGACCAATTCTTGCGTCATTCGCTGGCGCCCAAAGGCAACGGCGCCACTGGTCACCAGCAAACATTCCTTGCCCTGGTTCTGCAGTTCCGCCACCTGAAATTTAATGGAGTTTAATTAGATTATTTCGGACATGGATTATTCTGCTAGCATTCTATAACAATGGTGTGGTGAAACCCATGGTCTGCAGCAGTTTTTTTTTGACAGACCAGCAATAAGGGAATTTTTCTCAGTACTGTATATGATAAATTTGTCAAATGCAATATAGTAAAGTCTGTTATCTTTATCTGAAATTTCAGAAAGACAGTGGCAGTTGAAATTATTTGATGAAAAAGAATAGCTAGCTTTTCTTTTAATTCATACAAATTGTCACCTGCTGAGATTAATAATTTCAGCCTTCATTCATTCTGAGAAATCTTTCTTGAAGCCCAGCTTCATAATTTTTTTGTAAACAACATTGCACTATAAATCCTTCATTAGTTATTCACTCAATTTTTGTAAAAAAAAAGAGTTTTGTTTGGAGTATTTTATGGTGGGTATTTAAAAAATGTCTGCCACAGTCTGCAAAATATGTATGAAAATGCCGGTCCACAAAAAAAAATTAAATTGAAATTTGCTGGTCTGTGGGCCCAGCATGATACATTTATCAGAAGTAGCAATGAAGTCTGTTTTTTTTTTATCTGAAATTTCAGAAAGTCAGTGGCAGTTGAAATTGTCTGATGAAAAATAAAAGTCGGCTTTTTGCCCAATAACACTTCAGAAAAATTTTCACCAGCTTAAAATAAATTGTTTCAAGTTTTCATTCTGAGAAACCTTTCTTCAAGCCCACCTTTTTAATTTTTTGAAGACATTCCACACTATATATAGCTGCTTCATTGGTTCTTCATATAATTTTTGCAAAATAGCATGCACTCGATAAATACCGGTCTTTCAAATAAAACTTTTTTTGAGCCTGCAAAAAATTTTATGAAACTTTGCCAGTCCTCAGAAAATTTTTAGGGATATTTGCTGCTGATCTGCAGGCAAAAACAAAAAAAAAATGGTTGGGGAACACAGCTTTAAATTACATTATACCTGTTCAACGATAGAAGCCAATCGCCCCAGAGCAATCCCGCACCCATCTGCACGGGTGACAACTGCTGAACCCAACTTGATGACGACCCGTTTGGCGTGGATCAGCTGAGAGCGATGTGCAAAAGGAACTGCGCGACGTCGAGCGAGTTCCATGGTGGTCAATGCCCTTTGCACAGCATTGGTCGACGTTTTGCGCTTGAAAATTCTTCCAGTACTCTGCGAATAAATGATCAGAATAAAAAGTACAATGAGAAAATCTGGCTGAAAAATATTTTCACTGGAAAAAGCTGCGTTGCAAATTTTTGTTGTTGCTACATTTCAGGAACCAAAATGATTATGTGAAAAGGCCAGNTCTTTGTAATATGTACTCGTCAGCTTCTAAATGATTCATCGGTTAAATTTTATTTACTCAATTTTTGTTCATCTTTGGAGACTTTTTTCTAAATTTTTATTTTTTCATAAGCTCCTGTTAAAATAAATGTTGTGACAGAACCCCTTCGGCTTATTATTTCGTGCCTTGCAAATAAATATTTCCTGGTTATGTATACATGATAAAATTCCGTGAATGACCTTCATTTCTTGAAATACGGACACAGACAATTTTGCTTGTTAATTTTAAGATTCTCTCCTATTTTTAACTGAATATTTTTTTTTTCAAACATTTTCCTTGAACCTCCTCGTTGATTTTTGGGAAGCTTTCAGCGCACAGATTCAGAAAACTCCTAGAATGAATTTATTTCTCACATCTACTGTATTTGCTTAATCTGACTTGAAAATATTCTGAGGAATTACCGCAAATCCTTTCTTTGGGTCCTTGGAAAGCGTTTCTCGCATGGACATTGACATGACCAATTCTTGCGTCATTCGCTGGCGCCCAAAGGCAACGGCGCCACTGGTCACCAGCAAACATTCCTTGCCCTGGTTCTGCAGTTCCGCCACCTGAAATTTAATGGAGTTTAATTGGATTATTTCGGACATGGATTATTCTGCTAGCATTCCATAACAATGGTGTGAAACCCATGGTCTGCAGCAGTTTTCTTTTTTGCCAGTCCAAAGGGAATTTTCCTCAGTATTATGAATTTATCAAAGGCAATATAGTGAAGTCTGTTATCTTTATCTGAAATTTCAGAAAGACAGTGGCAGTTGAAATTATTTGATAAAAAAGAATAGTTGGCTTTTCTTTTAATTCATACAAATTGTCACCTGCTGAGATTAATAATTTCAGCCTTTATTCATTCTGAGAAATCTTTCTTGAAGCCCAGCTTCATAATTTTTTTGTAAAAAACATTGCACTATAAATCCTTCATTAGTTATTCACTCAATTTTTTTAAAAAAAAGAGTTTTGTTTGGAGTATTTTATGGTGGGTATTTAAAAAATGTCTGCCACAGTCTGCAAAATATGTATGAAAATGCCGGTCCACAAAAAAATTAAATTGAAATTTGCTGGTCTGTGGGCCCAGCATGATACATTTATCAGAAGTAGCAATGATGTCTGTTTTTTTTTATCTGAAATTTCAGAAAGTCAGTGGCAGTTGAAATTGTCTGATGAAAAATAAAAGTCGGCTTTTTGCCCAATAACACTTCAGAAAAATTTTCACCAGCTGAAAATAAATTGTTTCAAGTTTTCATTCTGAGAAACCTTTCTTCAAGCCCACCTTTTTAATTTTTTGAAGACATTCCAATACAGTACAGTATATAGCTGCTTCATTGGTTCTTGACATAATTTTTGCAAAATAGCATGCACTCGATAAATACCGGTCTTTCAAATAAAACTTTTTTTGAGCCTGCAAAAAATTTTATGAAACTTTGCCAGTCCTCAGAAAATTTTTAGGGATATTTGCTGCTGATCTGCAGGCAAAAACAAAAAAAAAATGGTTGGGGAACACAGCTTTAAATTACATTATACCTGTTCAACGATAGAAGCCAATCGCCCCAGAGCAATCCCGCACCCATCTGCACGGGTGACAACTGCTGAACCCAACTTGATGACGACCCGTTTGGCGTGGATCAGCTGAGAGCGATGTGCAAAAGGAACTGCGCGACGTCGAGCGAGTTCCATGGTGGTCAATGCCCTTTGCACAGCATTGGTCGACGTTTTGCGCTTGAAAATTCTTCCAGTACTCTGCGAATAAATGATCAGAATAAAAAGTACAATGAGAAAATCTGGCTGAAAAATATTTTCACTGGAAAAAGCTGCGTTGCAAATTTTTGTTGTTGCTACATTTCAGGAACCAAAATGATTATGTGAAAAGGCCAGAAAAAAATAAACTTTGGACTTGAAAACATTATCTTTACATTAACATTAACATTGAAAAAAGGCTTATCATTGGTAAATTTGCATTTTAATAATATGTTCAGGGTACCTGGTAGATTTTTCTTACAATAAGTTTCTACCTTTACTCGGAGTTACTTGGGGTGGCTTATTTACCTTGTCAAAAGCATTGTAGGGCTTTCCTAAAATTTTCTAATTCCACTGGGATTAAATGATTTTTTTTTACAAACAATCCGAATTTAAGGAACACATTCCATGAGTTAAAAAAATTCTGTCATAGCATTTAATAACAACTTCTTCATTTCAAACATTTTTCAAAGGTCATAGAATAAATGCTTTGATAAAAATTCCGAAAAAAATCCTTTTGGACCAATCAGCATACCACATTAATTTTTTTTCTCAATTTTGTCAGTTTCCATCAAAACTGTTGAACTTTCTGATTTTTTCTCAAAATTGCTTTTCTGTATAAAAAATTGAAGAAAAAATATGGTTCAAAGTGTCACTCAAACGATATCAACATTTCGATTGAAAGGATTGGTCAAAATCTGTTTTATGGAAGAAAATTTTATTTATTCTGTGCTGCTCAAGGTGCTGCAATAATGTTTAATTTTGCTTGGAAACTTCATTGCGCTTTAAAATTTTAAATTTGACAGAAGACAAAAATCTGGAAAGACCAGTGAAAGATTTTTCTTACAATAAGTTTCTACCTTTACTCGGAGTTACTTGGGGTGGCTTATTTACCTTGTCAAAAGCATTGTAGGGCTTTCCTAAAATTTTCTAATTCCACTGGGATTAAATGATTTTTTTTTTACAAACAATCCGAATTTAAGGAACACATTCCATGAGTAAAAAATTCTGTCATAGCATTTAATAACAACTTCTTCATTTCAAACATTTTTTAAAAGGTCATAGAATAAATGCTTTGACAAAAATTCCGAAAAAAATCCTTTTGGACCAATCAGCATACCACATTAATTTTTTTTCTCAATTTTGTCAGTTTCCATCAAAACTGTTGAACTTTCTGATTTTTTCTCGAAATTGCTTTTCTGTAAAAGATAGAAGAAAAAATACGGTTCAGAGTGTCACTCAAACGATATCAACATTTCGATTGAAAGGATTGGTCTAAATCTGTTTTACGGAAGAAAATTTTATTTATTCTGTGCTGCTCAAGGTGCTGCAATAATGTTTAATTTTGCTTGGAAACTTCATTGCGCTTTAAAATTTTAAATTTGACAGAAGACAAAAATCTGGAAAGACCAGTGAAAGAAATCTGGTAGAAATTGTCACTCGAATCATACTAATATACATATTCAATGAACGGATTATTTGATCTGAAGCTGTTTATGGAAGAAGATGTTAGAAGTTCTCCTCACTTGAATTGAAATAAATAGATTTTTCACAAAAAAATACAAGGTTATATTGCAGTGAAAATATTCCATGATGGAAAAATTCTGTCATTGCATATAATAACAACTTCTTCACTTTAAAAATTTTTTAAAAGGTCATAGAATAAAGGCCCCTAGAAAAATTCCGAAATATCTTGAGAAATTGAGGGTGCTGCAATTATTTTCAATTTTGCTTGTAAACTTTATTCTGCGTACATTTTTGAAATTTGGCAGATGAAAAAAAAGACTCGGGATTGAAGGAAAAGGCCATGAAATCTTTGAAAGAAGTTGAAATTTCTCAAGTAGGAATTCTTGATGCGAAATAAAATTGAAGCGATTTTTTTTCTATACGAGAATTTTCTATATGCTGTATATAGTCCTTGAATAAATTGAGTTCAATTGAATTACCGTATTTAAAAATTGAGAATATATTTCCTTGAGTCAAGTTTGAAAGGAAAAAGTCATGAAATGTTTGAAAGAAGTTAAAATTTCTCAAGTAGGAATTCTTGATTACAAAAAAAATTGAAACGATTTTTTTTTCACTACAAGAATTTTCTATGTACAGTCCTTGAATAAAGTGAGTTCAATTGAATTATTTAACAATAATTGAAAATAATTTCCTCGAGTTCACTCACGGATTGGAAAGGGGTAACCCCGTGCTGGGTCATGTCCATTCCTCCCCAACCCTCCGTCCGGAACCCACTCGTGTTGCTGATGGTACCCATCGTGGAACCCAAAGAAGCATGACCAGAAACGCGGACGTGGGTCCTTGACGACGAGCTGATTTCCCGACGAGGCTGACTGTTGGCGGACGTGGTGTCGTTGTTCCCGCTGCTCGTCGCACTCGTGACAGTCGACATGGTGCGAATGGATGGCGTCGATCGAAAGGCGCCGCTTCTCTGGCACCGAGTCGGCTCCAGCTCCATTTCCCCCTTGTATGCACCCAGAAGGTGGTTCCGCAGGGAAAACCCGCGGATTCCTTGGCGTCCGTACCACATTTCCGGATTCACACTCCACTGGGCTCTATTTTGCAAAAAACATAATCGAGTACAAGTGGTACCTTGCAATTTAACCTGCTGCAATTTCACCATCCAGCAATTTAAAGATTTAATTTGCAGAGAGGTTAACTTGCAATTCGACCATTTTTTAAATTTGGCAGATCTATAGACCATGATATGGTCCCCGCAATTGGACCTGATTTTTCCTCTTTTTTTACATTTTAAAAATTATATTTTGAATTTGATGGAGTACGTGTTTTTCAATTCAACCAATTTTCAATGTGACACTAGCTTGACAACAGATTAGGGTCAAATTTCAAATTACCAACTGTACTTTTAAAGAATTAAATCAACTGCTAATATATTGAAATCGTGTTACAACAAATAGCGTGCATTTACCACACATTTTTCAGTGTAACAAATTTATTTTCAAAGTCCCAGCAGAAATCCTAAAGGATACATGTTATAAAAATCTCAGTACAACAAACTTACCAATTCCAGTATAAAATTTTTTAAAAAGAAACATGTGATTTCCTAATGAAAAAATCCCCAATGAAGGCAGGCACAATCTCAAATTTTACATTCAAAATGTGATTGTGACTGGTTCTTTGGACATGAAGTGGAATCAAGTATAAAGTTTTTCAAAATCCACCTGAAAAATTCCTCTTTCAAAGTTTTTACATGGGTTAGGAAAGTTGGGGGGGGGGGGGTAGATGAAAAAATGAACCCAACAAAACTCCTGTTAAAAAGGGTTTGTATACTGTACTTGAGAAACCCTGCTGTGCTGCTTTTTTTAGACAAGTTTTTTTTAGAAAAATGTAGCGAATAAAAGATTGCTTTTGTAGCATTGGATTCACTCAACTGAGCACCTCCAACGCTTATGCATTAGATTTGAAATTTGAAATTGAGATTTGTCAGTTAATTTTACATGAATAGAAGAAGGAATCTAAATTCTCTAGAGAAAAAAAACCATGATATGCACACACATAAAATCAATCGCTCAGAAACACAAGTATACTTCAAAAATCAAATTTTCAATACAACTGAAAACCTTTTTTCAAATTACAGCAATATACAAAAGCTATCAATTCCGAAATGAATCACCATTGCTCATCAGCAAAAAAAAAAAAAAACGCGATGCACTCACACATCAAATCAATCACTCAGAAACAAATACGCAGTATTCAAGTATTTATATTTACATTTCAAAATTTTTTTTTAAATAAACGACGGAATCTTTCTCAAAGCCCCGTCTCGCAGGGTTTCCAGCGCCCAAATGAAGAACGGAAAATTTCCTGCGACTTTTTGTCCACACACACACACACACAAAAGCCGGTAGAAAAAAAAAAGTTATCTTGATTGCTGATGATGTCAAATTATTGACCGCCCCCCATAGTGATACCCGATCTCGAAATTCCGTCTGGTATCGGGGAAAGAGGGGGATTAAAACTAGCCATTAAAACTCCCAGTAACTTTCCACTCACTCATGGACTTTTCCTGACGAAACGGGAAACTCGGAAATTTTCACCACTTTTTTTTCAACGAATATTCCGAAAAAAAGTGGATGTACTGTATTATTTAAAAAGTGTTTCTTCAACCCTTTTTTTTTCGGTTCAACAGCACAGGCTTATTAAAAATTAATCTCCATATCTTGAAAACTCTGGAAATTTTTCGAAAACCCCGCCTGCATTTGATATACGGTATAGAATTCCCGTTATAAAGAATTATTCCTTACTGCGAATTCTTTCGATCTCAATATTTTTTTGTTGAACACAGCAAGTAGAGTATATATGGAATTTTTCGTTCCCTCTGTTTTATTGAGATTACACTAGCTGTATTCCATGTGAAAGAACAACTTATATAACGATAAAACATTAAAACTGAATTTGAGTATCATTCTTGGCATCATTTTTGCGCATAAAGGACATAAATTCGTGTTTTGCAAAACGATTCTTTCTCGAAGAAGTGTCAATTACGTAAGAGAAATTCTGATGAATGGAGTGCAGGAATCATATTTTGGCAATTAAAATTTTTTTTCTTCCTTTTATGGAGTTTTTCCAATTTATTATGCTGTTATGAAGTGAATTTTTAAAAATGCGAAAACTCGGATATAATTGCAGGGGACATTGGAAAACCTCGGAAAATATATATTCTTCAAATTATTTTGAGACATTTATGTATGATTTTTGCAGTGAATTTTGAAAGAATGTATCATAATTTACAATTTGCAGAAACCAAAACACGTGCATGACATTCGCAGCAATTTTATGGGCAGAATAACCTACTTCATTATTTTGTAATTTTTTAAAACAATAAAATGCAATTTTCAGTCATTTTTTCAGATGTGAAAATAAATGACATTCTATAATTTGAAAGAAGCAAAAATCCACTCACTTTTTTGCCTTGCGAACCAATCGCTTGGATGAGAGGTCAATGTTGGTATTTTTGCCAATTTGTGCAAATCTTGAAGTTTGCCTCACGGATGATTTCCAGCCACTCAGAATATTAGCCATGATTTCTCACCCTATCACACACAGCTAATGAACTGCTGTAAACGCCGAATTATTGCACAAAAATGCTGCAAATAATATATTTATCAATTATTTTTGAAAATGCAGGTAATTATATTCATATAAGCTTCTCAAACTCAAATAAAAAAAACTGTCTCCCAGGAAATTATCTGCTGCCTCATTTTGCACTACTACGAAAATTGATTTCCTTTATTATGATAATCAGTAAATATTATTTGACAAAATATTTGACTCGAACTTAGCTTTTTGATTGTCGTAATCGAAGAAATATCTCAAATAAAACACTCCCGCTTTCTTTTACAAATCTTGATGTAATCCACATTTTTCATCTAATTTTTGGCGGATTTAAAATGAATTGACTAAATTAGTAATAAATCACCATTCATCCTAACGATTATTGTACAGAAAAATATAAATTTGTGCTTTCAAGAGGTGAAAAATAATGACACAATACAAAAATGTCAGATTTACGCGCAAACTTCAGAAAACAAATTTATCATTTTAGAATAAAATCTAAAAAAAAATCATGCTTCGCATATCAGTTTTACAACTCAACTGAAAAATTCATACACAAGAACGGACAGCAATTAAAATTGAAAAAGAGATGAAAGTTAAAATTAAAATAGATTAGAAGTGACAAAATTGCCTCTAAACCTAAAAAAAAAAAAATTCCTGTGCGACACACAACGGAATTCGAAGCAATATTCACCCATGCAGGAAGTTCACACGGTAGTATTAATACAATTGATAACAGCTGACAAGTACCAGCCACTCGGTGTCGAGATTTCGCGACAGCGACAGGGCTTCTCTGGGTCAAGTGCTGACGACTGCAATGATGACACGTGGCAACAAATTCCGCACGCACAGACTACAGTATTCGGCACTCGACAGCTGAATACAATTTCATCAACGATTTTACTTGTTGCCACCCTTGTCAATAATATCAATTAATTACCAGCATTTGAACTTTTGAAATAATTCTGTTTTATGCATTATTGTGATCTCTATAATTGTTGGTCGTTATGCGTTACTTAAAAAAAGGGACCAATTCAAAAGAATTCATGCATCTTCATGTACTGCGATGGATTTATTTTTTATTTTTTATTTTTACTGTATTATATTTTTGAAGACACGTGTGTGAGGGCCAAAATATCTTGAACCTTGTGAACACTGAAAAGAGGCAAATGAATCATATTTATCAATCAATAAAAGACTTCAGATTCCCACAAATCAATACAAAAGTATTCTCCCAAATCTTGGAGGACCAGGAAAAAGCATTGGATTTATATGATTTCTGTTTGAAGATTCTTTCTACATTTTTAATCAATGAAAAATTATCTAGGAACGTGCTGCACAGTCAACACCCGCATAACAGACCTCCTGTCTAAGAGATTTTCGCCTAACAGACCACTTCTGCAGGCAATTTTTCCCACCTAACAGATAAAATCCTGCTAGCAGACTTCTGCTGGTTTAATATTATTGGTAAAAAGTGAAAATTTGAATTTTTTTACTGATTGACTGCACAAAACAGACTTTGTACATAAAAGACAAGTCTTTTGTACAAATTCAGTTTGTTGGGCTGGGGTTGACTGTAATTTGAGCTGTAATATTCCCTTGTGTGTGCTATGATTTTCTGTCATTGAAAATCATGGGAATTCACAAGTCATGCATTTGTGTGTACTGTGATGTATTTTCTTTCAATACCCATAATATTATTATAGTGAATAATTTTATATGCTGGAATGTGTTGAATGGATTGGGGGGGGGGGATTTTACTTACTTCAAGGTTCATAATTTTTTGAATCTTGAAAGTCAGTATATGGCCCTATATAGCTCTTAAAATATATGCCAAATAAAATAAAGTTTCAAAATGAAATGTTATTGAAAGCAACATTTGGACTGCTTCTCACAAGACATACCCAATAGCTACTGTATTTCTATGTAGTTAAATGGTCACACAGGATCAGGGATGCAATAAAACTGGATACCCAAAGAATAAAAAAAACTGCTGCAAAAATCAGAATGTGGAAAAAAATTTTCTTGATGCATTATTGAGCAGAAATTTTATACAAAACTTATTCTATCGCTTTGCCTGCATTTAAATTATGATTCAGTGCTGGCATCTTCCCAAATTCAACATTTGAACATTTATTTGTCAATTGACACACCTTATTCACACAAAGTCACTCAAAAACTACAGAAACAAACAAAGCTGCCCTCTATTTTATTGAGGATGAGATCAGGGAGATTCTGCGCATATGTTATGAGAAGTCATTATCTCAGAAGGCAAAGGTCCAGATGTGTAATACCATGAACTTTGCCCTAATTCTATGAAAAACTGCTGATTCACTTCTTTTGAGTGCTCCTTAAATGTCTCTTTTGAATAAATCATGAACTAAATTGGTGGGAAGAAAACAGAGAGGTACTCAAAACCATACACACAAAAAGATGATGATTTTAAAGCAAGGATGCATCACAAAATTTTTCAAGCTACACTGACATTAGTCCATAAAGAATTATTTGCTGACCAGCAGTCATTACAATAAGCCATTAATTGTCAGTATATTCACAGTTATTTAACCCTTGGACGGCAAAGGGTTCTTTCCCATTGCCGGCTAAAATTGGATTATTTTCGTATGCTAAGGCATTTTAATTTTTCTGAAGGTCAGAAAAGACCTTCCAGGTGGGCTGAGGCAAGGTCCGGATTAATCCGAGAAAAGCCCATTGCTTAGCACAGCATTTTTTTCATTTTCTCACGAAATTTTTCTGTGCAAAAAGAAAAAAACATTGGATTTTCCCGGACTTTGTCCTCAAATCCCTATTGTCCTTTTTTTATTTTCTGCCCTGAGGTGCAACAAAATTTTGCAAAAATAGTCTGACTTTGCCGCCCAAGGGTTAATAAATTTGCTCCAGGAAGACATTTTTTCCACGCTTTATCTTCAGACTGGGTTGGTGACACTGTACAGTACATTACAATTTTGAAATGTATCATCATTATTGATTCAGTAATGCTTGGAATAATTACTTTGAGGCCAGCTTCGTTCATCATCACCAACCCGTCTTTGTAAAACCCTTAATTAGTCATATCAATAAATTATAGATTTGTCATCTCTCCAAATACTGTACAGTATGTATTTATAAATTTATGTGAATTTCAATCATCCAACGCCAAAAAAACCAAACTGCAATTGAATATGCATTGAAAGAAACTGGGGAGCTATCCTAGTTGGGGGGACCCAAGCGCAAAACTACGTCTATATAGATGTCGCTAAGAACGGCACACGGAACGTTCTTGGCGGACACACTCCACTCATTCATCAACCCTGTTCTGTTGATCCTGTGGTATGCTATTGTCAGCCTTACCATCAGTCCATTTTATTCTAATTCATTATACTGACTCTGTGAATTTTGACGTAACTTGACACTTGCATTGTTTTATTGGAATTCTGCTGAGACTGAATTTGGGGGGCGGTTAGGTAAAGTTAGGTTAGGTCAGGTTATGTTAGTTAAAATATGTATTAATGTTAACTAAAATATTTGTTATGAACATATAAAATCCATGGTTGAAATATTTTCAACTAACATAACCTGACCTAACCTAACTTTACCTAACTGCCCCCCAAAGTCAGTTTTTGCAGAAAATTCAAGTCAGGTTGTGTTACCTACAATGTTTTCAATTAACACATTTTAAAATAGATGGCTTAAATATCTTTACTGACATAACCTGACCTAACCTAACTTTACCTAACTGCCCCCCAAATTCAGTCTCAGCAGAATCAGAAATAACAGTGGCAGTGTCAATTCACATTTTAATTCAAATGCACAGTTGGATTTGTACCTATGCACAGAGAATAAAATCAGACCAGTGGCAAGGCTGAGGATAGCATGCCTCACCGGCAGCACCGCAGGGCTGTTGGAGAATTGGAGTGTATAAGGGCTAAGCGCGCGTGAAAGGGGGTACGCACTGTTCTTCGTAGATGGAGCTAGTAGTCTGGGTCCCCCCAACTAGGATAGCTCCGAAACTGGGCTTTTGTTTAACTTTCTGCAAGATAGCAACTTCACTTGAAACTTTTGAACACTCAGCCACCTCCAGTACCACACCAAAAACAGTCCTTGTTCATTATCTAACATCACAGAGAAAATATCACAAGCAGTGACATCTATATTTTTAATAACTGTTATTTTCAACACATTCAAACCTTCACTAAATAGATTCCAATACAGTACAGAATGAATAAAACAGAGTTCTGATCATTCAGCAAATTTTCTTGGAAACACTGAAGTAAAATACTGTGCAGTCAGTCCCTCTCCAATGTGAAATTTCATAGAGAAATAAAAATTGGAGTTAGGGCAGTTTCAAGTTGGGAAAGCAAGCATTCTTCCAAGGAGGGGGGGGGGAGGAATGAGGATTACAATAAATTGTAAATCTTGATATTCTGGACCTTAAATGACTTTTTAAATGAGATGACATGATGCTGAACTTGGAGGCAAAGGGTTCAGTTGCTCAATCAGTTTTTCACTTCCTTTCAAAATGCATCATATTAAATTTTTATTGCTTTTCTCTTTGCTGAGTCAATAAAATAACAGCAAAAGGTTTCCAGAAAATTTCTATTCATGGCAGTTTGTTTTCAAAAGACTTCCAATTTCAGGGGGGTTTTCTGGACTGTTTCTGATGAGGGAATCTGGACAAAGGGTGGTATTCATTTAGGGAATTTTGAGTTCAAGTTCAACTGTACCACAATAACAAGCAGATTCACAAAATCAGAAAAAAACCACTTCAATATGAACAACAGCTTTCCCACAACACAAACCAAAAATCAAAACACACACACACACACACCAGGACCAGCCCGACCTCCACAGCCTATTGCCACCCGTTTCCCAACATCTGTTGAACTCCTGTACACGAGTCCCGTACTTGAGCTCCCAGAAACTATTTTTTCTTCTCTTCCTTTTTTTTTTTTCTGCGGAAAAGCCAGCAACCTTCAACAGACAGACACAGCAGACTGAAGGCTAAAGAAAGACTCACTCCCTCAGATTAGCGCTGGGAGGAATTCGAGCAACAACAAAAAATAGGGCAAACTGTGGGAGAGAATGAAGGAGTCCATGGCGCAATCGCAGGAAAATCTGTGGCTGATGCAATACTGCAACACCTTTACAAAGGGTGGACGGCTTCTGTGAGNCAAACAAAGCTGCCCTCTATTTTATTGAGGATGAGATCAGGGAGATTCTGCGCATATGTTATGAGAAGTCATTATCTCAGAAGGCAAAGGTCCAGATGTGTAATACCATGAACTTTGCCCTAATTCTCTGAAAAATTGCTGATTCACTCTTTTGAGTGCTCCTTAAATGTCTCTTTTGAATAAATCATGAACTAAATTGGTGTGAAGAAAACAGAGAAGTACTCAAAACCACACACAAACAAAGTTGAAGATTTTAAAGCAAGGATGTATCACAAAATTTTTCAAGTTACACTGACATTAGTCCATAAAGAATTATTTGCTGACCAGCAGTCCTTACAATAAGCCATTAATTGACAGTATATTCACAGTTATTTAACCCTTGGACCACAAAGGGTTCTTTCCCATCGCTGGCCAAAATCGGATTATTTTTGTATGCTAAGGCGTTTTAATTTTTCTGAAGGTCAGAAAATACCTTCCAGGTGGGCTGAGGCAAGGTCCGGATTAATCCAAGAAAAGCCCATTGCTTAGCATAGCATTTTTTTTCATTTTCCCACAAAATTTTTCTGTGCTTTTTCTTTTTTTGTAGTCTAAAAGGGGTTGAAACAGGAGTTTAGGGACAACAGGATTTTTTATTTTCTGCCCTGAGGTGCAACAAAATTTTGCAAAAATAGTCCAACTTTGCCGCCCAAGGGTTAATAAATTTGTTCCAGGAAGACATTTTTTCCATGCTTTATCTTCAGACTGGGTTGGTGACACTGTACAGTACATTACAATTTTGAAATGTATCATCATTATTGATTCAGTAATGCTCGGAATAATTACTTTGAGGCCAGCTTTGTTCATCATCACCAACCCGTCTTTGTAAAACCCTTAATTAGTCATATCAATAAATTATAGATTTGACATCTCTCCAAATACTGTACAGTATGTATTTTGAAATTTATGTGAATTTCAATCATCCAACGCCAATAAAACCAAACTGCAATTGAATATGCATTGAAAGAAACTGGGCTTTTGTTTAACTTTCTGCAAGATAGCAACTTCACTTGAAACTTCTGAACACTCAGCCACCTCCAGTACCACACCAAAAACAGTCCTTGTTCATTATCTAACATCACAGAGAAAATATCACAAGCAGTGACATCTATATTTTATTAACTGGTATTTTCAACACATTCAAACCTTCACTAAATAGATTCCAATACAGTACAGAATGAATAAAACAGATCATTCAGCAAATTATCTTGAAAACACTGAAGTAAAATACTGTGCATTCAGTCCCTCTCCAATGTATAATTTCATGGGAACATAAAAATTGGCGTTAAGTTGGGGAAACAAGCATTCTTGTAGGGGGAAAAGGAATGAGGATTACAATAAATTGTAAATCTTGATATTCTGGACCTTAAATGGCTTTTTAAATGAGATGACATGATGCTGAACTTGGAGGCAAAGGGTTCAGTTGCTCAATCAGTTTTTCACTTCCTTTCAAAATGCATCATATTAAATTTTTATTGATTTTCTCTTTGCTGAGTCAATAAAATAATAGCAAAAGGTTTCCAGAAAATTTCTATTCATGGCAGTTTGTTTTCAAAAGACTTCCAATTTCAGGGGGGTTTTCTGGACTGTTTCTGATGAGGGAATCTGGACAAAGGGTGGTATTCATTCAGGGAATTTTGAGTTATCCAAGTTCAACTGTACCACAATAACAAGCAGAAACAGAACAACAAAATCAGAAAAAAAACCACTTCAATATGAACAACAGTTTTCCCACAACACAAACCAAAAATCAAAACACACACACACACACACCAGGACCAGCCGGACCTCCACCGCGTATTGCCACCCGTTTCCCAACATCTGTTGAACTCCTGTACACGAGTCCCGTACTTCAGCTCCCAGAAACTATTTTTTCTTCTCTTCCTCAAAAAAAAAAAGACGCCTTTTCGGTCGTTGGAAGTTGTCTGTCTGTGTCGTCTGACTTCCGATTTCTTTCTGAGTGAGGGAGTCTAATCGCGACCCTCCTTAAGCTCGTTGTTGTTTTTTATCCCGTAACTGTGGGAGAGAATGAAGGAGTCCATGGCGCAATCGCAGGAAAATCTGTGGCTGATGCAATACTGCAACACCTTTACAAAGGGTGGACGGCTTCTGTGAGGAAATGGATGTTTTGGAACAGCTGATGGGAAACTGGGGCAATTTTTGTCTACAGTGGAACCTCACTAAATGGAATTTCCAGGGACCAGCATAAAAACCTTGATCCAGTCAGGTTTTGACTTTGAGTTCAGGGAAACAAGCATTTTTGTTGTGGAAAACATACAGGAATTGCATGGCATTGTAAATGGCAATATTCTGGGTCTTCAACTTCTTTTTTTAAATCAGTTTACAGGATCCTGAACTTAGAGGCAGGGGTTCATTTGCTCAATTATTAGTTTTTCACTTTTTTTATAATGCATGAAGTTTAATTTTTTATTGCTTTTCTCTTTCCTGATGTCAAAAAAATTACCCAAACTGCTTTGGAAAACTTGAATTATGGAGGTTTGATAGGAAAATCCTTCAAGTTGGAGAGACTTTAAATGCATTATTTCCAAGAGAATTCAGACAGGAACTAAAAAAAAATTTTGACTTATGGAGATAATACACTTAGGGAGGCTTGATTTATGATTGAGGTTTCAAAGAGTAGCACTGAAATCTGGGTGGTTTAATGACCTTGGTGGATATTTTTTTGATGTCACAAAAATGTTGATTGCAAGGAAAGACTTATAAAATTGGATGAAATACGATTTGGAGAAATAAATATGGTTTGCTCCGGAGGGTTGGTCCAAACATTTTTGCGTTTTTTATGCGACCCGTTGTGATAATTTTGTACAAAAATGATTTGATGAAATTCAATTTACTGACATTTTCAAAAAATAATAATCTTCAATACACCGGTTTTGTGTCCACTACATAAATTGGAATGACGATCGACCGCCTGACGGTGGATCCACGACGCGCGTTGTAGTCTGGAGCGACATCTTGTATCTCAGTCTCATTCTCCTCATCCTCATTTTTTGGTCTGTTCCACCAGGCCTCTCTGCTGTCGCTGAACATGAGGTAGAAGATGTTGCTTGCCACGTACATGCACGCTGCTATCCACAGTATTTTGTTCCAGTGTTGCACAGTTTGCTGTTTTGTGGGGAAATAAAAATTTCAATTATTGTACAGTTTCACCCCGGTAAAATAGACGCTTCACACAGCAACTTTACCGCAAAACGAACCCACACTCGCACCTATAAGTTTCGAATGACAAACACTGTTTCGGATAACGGACTGCGCAACTTTATTTCGCCCTTCAGAGCTATGGGAATTTGCTGTGGTAAATATGGCTTCACTTTAATTTCTACAGATAATTTTCTTGAGTAATTCAATTTGGAATATTCTTGGATTCTCAGTGTTTCTGCTTTTCATTGTTTCCAAGAAGTGAGGCAACTCTTACAGTGTTATAAATTTGGAGTTCTTAGAAATTATTGAAAAGGGAATATACCAAACCTCTTTTAGAAACTTTCTTAAACATAGTAGACCTTTCCAAACTTACAGGGGTTCAACCTAGCTTTAAAGTTCTGTACCATAGTTTAAGGAATGTCATGAAAAAAGCTCATAAATTTGTATTTTGAAAACACAAAACAGTGAAAATTAAAAAAATAAGAAGAATATTGTTCCCATAACTTAATCTCATTAACAAAAAATTTCTCTTTCAACATAAAACAGTAAAACTGATCCATAGACCTTAAGTGATGAAATCATATTTTTGAGGAGTCTAGGTCTAGAACAATTATTTCATTCAACATAACATCATTCAGATTATTGTATATATATTTTCTTGGAAAATATAACGCATAAATCATCTCCAGTGACTTACATTTCCTTTTGTGATCATTCCAGCTGTTACTGGTGCCAGAAATGAAGCCACAGTCCCAAAGAAATTTGAAACCCCATAAAGTGTCCCTGTAAAGAAAAACAAAATACATTGAGCATGATAGAACAATATTTTTTCAATGCATGCTGTGGAACAATCATGGCATATGTTTGCATTAGACCCTAAATAAATTTATGTACTGTATTTTACTGTTTAGTACAGTTAGTACCAACTCTTGCATATGAAGGCATATTTATAGACAAAAAAAAACGAAGCTCTCAGTGCACTCATGACATTTCCACAACCATTGCTGTAAGCAAGGTACACTATCATGAGAGAAATCATTGCTAAATTACAAGTTTCCATATAACTCTCCTTTCATGTGCATGAAATATTTCTTGCGTGCTTAATTCATATTTATCACAAGTTAAAATTGAGAGAAGAAAATCAAAACCTCAAAGATTTAACTTCACTGAGGAAAACAGCATATCTCTGCATTTTAACAACAATAAAATTAAGGAATTCTTCAATTTTGTACAATTCCTGAAACTGAAACATAAACTTTAATGTGTTTTCAGTGTGGCATCATGCTCTATAATTGATCAGTTTTCCAACAGTTTAATTTTCCCAATCATATGCTCAAAAAATAGAAAATAATTAGTAAAAAGGAACAAAGCAATTACCAGCAAAATTGGGTGCAATATCAATCAAGTTTGTCATAAACCCAGCATTTGATGCTCCTTGAAATGTAATGGCGAAAGTGAGGAAAATCATGGTCCACAAATAGTCACATTGAGAATATATGACTCCAATGATCCCCAAAGCAGCTCCAAAGTGAGCTGCAAAATTCATAAAAAAAGCATGTCAATTTATTGTACAAAATAGGCCTGCGGAATCAAAATAAGTTACCTATTGAGTTGCAGATCCTCCTCAAAGCTGTTGGACTTGCCATGTTCTTTTTTCCTGCTTTGTCAGAGACATACCCTACTGTGGTGCTGAATGTCCACATCAGTAAGTAAGGTAGCGCTGATAGAACTCCATCCTGTTATCATTTGAAAGTTAGCATCAGCAACCATTTTCNTCTGGTCTGTTCCACCAGGCCTCTCTGCTGTCGCTGAACATGAGGTAGAAGATGTTGCTTGCCACGTACATGCACGCTGCTATCCACAGTATTTTGTTCCAGTGTTGCACAGTTTGCTGTTTTGTGGGGAAATACAATTTCAATTACAGTTTCACCCCGGTAAAATAGACGCTTCACACAGCAACTTTACCGCAAAACGAACCCACACTCGCACCTATAAGTTTCGAATGACAAACACTGTTTCGGATAACGGACTGCGCAACTTTATTTCGCCCTTCAGAGCTATGGGAATTTGCTGTGGTAAAAATGGATTCACTTTAATTTCTACAGATAATTTTCTTGAGTATTTCAATTTTGAAAATTCTTGGATTCTCAGTGTTTCTGCTTTTCATTGTTTCCAAGAAGTGAGGCAGCTCTTACAGTGTTATAAATTTCCTCAAGAATCTTTAATAACTTTTCCCTTATATGGTTTGGAGAAAATCTTTGAAAGAATTTGTATCATCTGGAAAGGTTTGAATGTCCCCAAGTTGGATCGAAATTTCAAGACATGGTATCAAATTCAAATGTCATGAAAAAAGCTCAGAAATTTGTATTTTGAAAACACAAAACAGTGAAAATTAAAAAAATAAGAAGAATATTGTTCCCATAACTTAATCTCATTAACAAAAACTTTCTCTTTCAACATGAAACAGTAAAACTGTTCCATAGACCTTAAGTGATGAAATCATATTTTTGAGGAGTCTAGACCAAATAATTCATTCAATATAACATCATTCAGATTATTGTATATATATTTTCTTGGAAAATATAACGCATAATCATCTCCAGTGACTTACATTTCCTTTTGTGATCATTCCAGCTGTTACTGGAGCCAGAAATGAAGCCACAGTCCCAAAGAAATTTGAAACCCCATAAAGTGTGCCTGTAAAGAAAAACAAAATACATTGAGCATGATAGAACAATATTTTTTCAATGCATGCTGTGGAGCAATCATGGCATATTTTTGCATTAGACCTTAAATAAATTTATGTACTGTATTTTACTGTTTAGTACAGTTATTACCAACTCTTGCATATGAAGGCATATTTATAGACCCAAAAAACGAAGCTCTCAGTGCATTCATGACATTTCCACAACCATTGCTGGAAGCAAGGTACACTATCATGAGAGAAATCATTGCTAAATTACAAGTTTCCATATAACTCTCCTTTCATGTGCATGAAATATTTCTTGCCTGCTTAATTCACAACTATCACAAGTTAAAATTGAGAGAAGAAAATCAAAACCTCAAAGATTTAACTTCACTGGGGAAAGCATTTTAACTACAAGAATATTAAGGAATTCTTCAATTTTGTACAATTCCTGAAACTGAAACATAAAATTTAATGTTTTTTTCAGTATGGCATCATGCTCTATAATTGATCAGTTTTCCAACAGTTTAATTTTCCCAATCATATGCTCAAAAAAGAGAAAATAATTAGTAAAAAGGATCACAATAGTTACCAGCAAAATTGGGTGCAATATCAATCAAGTTTGTCATAAACCCAGCATTTGATGCTCCTTGAAATGTAATGGCTAAAGTGAGGAAAATCATGGTCCACAAATAGTCACATTGAGAATATATGACTCCAATGATCCCCAAAGCAGCTCCAAAGTGAGCTGTAAAATAAATAAAAATACAGTTAAATAACATGTTTTATCCGGACGCCTTAGTTTTATTCAATGGATAACTCAACGTCTAGGAGGAGTTTCGACAACCTGAACGGTACAAGAAAAAAGGACGAAACAGTCTCTGTATGGGATGTGTGGTGCTGAATGTCCACATCAGTAAGTAAGGTAGTGCTGATAGAACTCCATCCTGTTATCATTTGAAAGTTAGCATCAGCAACCATTTTCAGGAGAAAAAATATTTTTAATTAAAAACTAACCTTTTTAATGTCATATGCCAGCATTTTCTTGAGGTAAGTTCCGTTGAGTCACTCTTTGTTTATCTTAGGGGTCAACAACGGGTAAGATTGTTACTGTTAACGGGTCTTTCCGTGTGAACACTTTTAACGAAAGGTACCTTGTCCATCTTGGACTCTAATTAAGTTTTAGTTGGAAACATAAATTCAACTTTCTTGAGAGATACTTATTTGGAAATGTATGTATTCACATTTCTCTCCTCAATTTTCTGCTTCATGAATTTTGGTTGTGAGTCAGTTATCAAACTTTTCTCTGCCTCAGAGATATAAGGGTGGGATGAGGGTGTATCATAGATGAATGTCATCCACAGGATGCTCCAAAGAATACCAGCAATACCAGTGATGTAGAAAACCATTGGCCAGCCCAAGTAATGGATGATGAAAGCTGTTGCAGGTAGTGTCACCACTGTTCCTGCTTGTGCCCCTGAAAAAAGCAGTGCAGTATGATCTTGTTAAAAATATTTTTTTTAGCTAATCACAGTACAGTATTATGGAAGTTTCAATATGACACAATTCACAAAAGTTTCTCTGGGGCCCAACATACTTTTTTGCTAAATACTGCATTATATAGAATAGTTTTGATCAAATATAAAACATATTTTTCCATTAGTTATAGGTTAAATATATGTGAATGAAATGTGAATGTGTATATGTGGCTCTACACAAAGGAAAAATTGCATCATGTTTTTCATACCTGCATAAACAGCAGAAGTGAGCTTGGCCCTTTCACTGGGAGGTGCCCATTCTGCAAGCATAGCATGCATTGCTGGGTTAGCCACCCCTTGCAACATCCCTACAAACACCCTGAGGAGAACCACTGACAAGTGGCCCCAAGAGGCAGCCAGTGGTGTCAGGAAAGTGATCATGGATGCCACCATCAAAGAGCCACCAAACAGCAGCTTTGAAGTTAATATGTATCCCCAGAAAAATGAGCCCAGAACAAGAGCCTGGATCTCTTCATCCCACTCATATTCTCCATCTGCCAAGAGCTGCAACATCATTTTGAAAGATAATTACATCTTTATCTACAGGTAACAACTTCTTCAGCCCATCATGCATGCTAATAATAAGTGACGTCAACTAGTTGCCACGATGGACACTCTTGGGTAGGGGCTCCTCTGGCCCATTGTATCAGCTAGTTGTGAGATTGTTTCAGACTAGTTACTCATGATGGTCTGACTTGAGAGTCTATGATGTACTGCCCATTTTTGGGTAATACTTTAAAGTAATTGTAAGCCATCAATTACCTATACATTGCCAAAAAAGATCCTGAAATCCAACAACCATATCATTTACTGTGTATAATGCCACTAATCAATTTTCCTTTGCAGGAAAATATTGGGGTATTTTAGGAAACTTCATTCAATTTTCTGAACATTATTACATGTATATGCAATAAGTATAAATTAGGTAAGCAGTATTTGTTCTTTTGCCAAAGTTATATAACCAGAGCTAAGTATACAGTGGTGCCTTGCATAACAATTTCATTGCCTAACAACCAATCTGCCCAACAACCACTAAAAACCTGGAAAAATGCCTTGCCTAATGACCACCCAGCAAATAATTTGGCCATTATCCGCTTGCGTTTGCGCATAAAAGACGGCCTTATAAATGTTTAGAGTGGACGTCTACCCAGGCAGCCACTCAGACCATAAAAAGCAGGCATTATATCCGTCTGGAAAAACAGGGATAAGATTCCCACTTCCCCTGACGGTTTGGGCTTGGGTTTGCTAGTCCAGTACACTGTACTAGCATTGTGATTCTAGGGTGCTTAGCTGCGTGTTAACAGCATTACTGCAGTGTGATAACACTGCAGTAATGCTATGCAGTCCTGCAGTAATACTTCAGCCCTACAATGCCAGTACACTGTATCAGCACTGACCCGCCTATCAAACTTTTCTTTTTACCTTCCTTTGAACTAATAAATTTAGAAGAAAAAACGTTTAATGCTGTTGTTTCTTTCCCTAGAAAAAAATGGTTGTTTCTGAAGCATTTTTGTTGATGGAAAGCAAGAAGAATGGAAGGAAATTTTAGTTGGTGATATTCTAGGCCTCATATCACACACCCCAACTTGAATATAGAATCAACACCCTTTTTGAACTACAGTATTGATATGTGTCTAATAAATGTGTATCAAATACTGTATGTAACTCAATTACTACCAGTAAAATCACTTTCCAAAGTACATGAATGAAAGTTTTTTTCCATGAACGCTTTTTCCATCCCCAAAAACTTTCATAGCTACTGTACTGTTGTAGTACAAAATATTTATGAGACAAAATATGTTTCAGCAAGAAAAGATATGGAGTTTTTAAAGTGAAACCCCAATTTTTGGTTGATTATGATGAAAATTGAATCAATGATTTTCACATCAGTTCTTTGTGTAGCATTCCCAAGAACAGCTGACACGTTGAGGTCACAGGCTGCAAATCCTTCCACAGGCAAATGAGGAATGGCTGTGTTGTTGACCATGGCCAAAATTGCCACATTGATGTTGATCCTCAGGGCATATTCAGTGACAAAGCCAAAAAATGCCAACACTGCCAATACATATCGTTTTGGGATGTCATCAAAAAACTGGAGCAACTTCTGGTTCAATTTGGAAATCCTTCTGCAAAAAAAAAAAACGGTTTTAAGTTTATTGTGGTACCTTTTTTGGTGCCATATGGTTTGTCACCATCATGGCATGGATAAGATTTATGATCCTGTTTCATAAAAATAAAACAGGTCTTGCATTGGAATTTTCCCAGATATGATACATATTTTCAGGGTAGGTCTGATAAATATTCAAAGGAAAGGGAGGCATCATTCATGAATGATGATTGCTCAGGCCATTTTCAATAAGACCACATGTTTATTAACGATCATTTTGACTGAAACAATTTTTTAAATCAATGCTATTATGACTGAGTCCATTTGGCACATTTTTGGGTCTATGATTTGAGTTATTAGAGTAGAGAGTAGTCCATACCTAATTTTAAGGACCCTATTACCCGGGTACAATGACTCGAATTTTCATAAGTGAAAACCCTCTCTGCATCACATGTTCACCTACAGTCCTTATTTGGATTTCCTCAGGAACTCTGTAATATAGACCTCTTTAACTCAAAGACTTTCCCCTTTTAAACCTTCATCACTCAGATTTTGAGGGGCCTTTTGGATATAATCCCAGGGACCCAGGAAAAAGAAGAGCAGATAAAATTCAATTTGGAATATGTTTCAAAAGAAAGTGAGTGACTAATGGATACTGTCATCGTATATGGTACGTTTTAGTGTGTCCCAAAACACATTAAGAATACTTCATTTGCAGTTGATGCACCTGCACAACAACTGGTTGCCAAATCAGTTGTGGTGGAATAATTTGGTACGTTAAAGTACTGCCGTACCGTACAAGAAATTCTTAAGAGTTATTTGATTAATCCAGAACATTCCAGACCTTCATCATGTTTTCAGCAGCTTCCAACTTGCTATCATGTCATGAAACATTCAGACAGTGTGGTGTGAGATTTTTATTAAATTTATTCCGATCAATCTTGTGTGTCTGAGTTCATGAAAAGGTGCATTTTTGTGCTTGGGGTTAAAATGAAATATACTTCATCTGTTTCTTTGGGATCTTGTAAACAAGATCCCCAGGTGAACCCCACGCCTGATTAAAGTGTTTTATTTTGAATTCCGCGCCCTTTTGTATCAGTTCAGGTACAGCAGTGTAATCATTCTCTGGTCACTGGTTGTTCCCTGTCTACCATTCTCCTTTTGCATTTGCACAGTCAAAAACCCTTTTGCAGCAGGCCAAATCTATAAAGGAGCTTGGGCACATTGTTCAAACATTTGTTGCTGGTTCAAAGTCTCTACTGTGATGTTGCATGTAAGAAATAAAGATTTTGTCTGATACAAAAAGTCAAGTTCGCTATTTCCACAGCCCTGGCCATAAGAATTAAACTTCTTGGTAATCCAAGGGTCAGATACAGGATAAGCAAGCTGAAGTGAAGTATAAGACCTTCTGAAATAATGGTAAAATCTTTTTTTGAAGACACTTATAAATATTTGATAACAATACATTTAACCTTGCTTCCAAATAAAGCATCCCATCAACTCATCTTCTCAGTACAGTAGTTTCAGGTCCAGGAGGTCACTAATTTTACCTGACGTTCTTGCGATTGTTCTTTTTTCCTGAAAAAAAAAATAATAATTTGTAAACTTCCCAGACTGTGAAAATTGCATGGGTCCCTCTGAGTTCAATTTGAAGAGACTAGAATGTGCATATCTCTTTTTTTTAAACCATGGAAATCTTTATATTTTCCTTCATTCCAATTGTTTTCTTGTATATTTAAATGTTGCCATGGGACCTTTCGTATGCCGATAAATGATGTCGCCCACTAGAAATCCGCACACGTTGCTCACTTTGACCAGATTAAAAAAATAAAAAACAAGCACAAGAAACCTGACGAACAGAACGACCTTGGAAGAATAACGGACTTCAGGAACTGGTTGGAGAACCAGTTATCTGAAATCCGCAAGCCACCGAAACCACCGAAGATTCACACACTGCTTCAACTGTGTTGGCTAAACGCGGACGTGAAACGAGTGCTGAATTTATCTGCCAAATCATTGTGTATTATTTGTGCTCCTGTTTTCGGTGCAAAAGCAACCGATCTTGAGGCTCAAGCTTTATTGTGTTTCCTGTTCATTTGTCATCTGTGTTTTCTTCTTCGTCTGCGGAGTCACAAAGGACCCAGGACGAAGTTGGTGGCCTGTATATGGTAAGAGTTTTTTTTTAATTTATGACTATTTGCATATGATTATTTGATGCAAGTATGTACACGAAATATTTACTCAGTTTCTTTGAGGAACGCATCCAATTATAAACGTATTGCTCTTCCAATTCCATCCATATAATCCCAGATTAATACTGTTCAGCGTGAAAAGGCTTCGTGAAATTATAATTATTGAGGTTTGAGGGAAAATTCTTCAAGTTTTGATCTGGATCAGTGTTCCCCAACCCATGGTCCACAGACTGCTGGTGCCAATCTGCAGAAGTTTTTTGCTGTTCTGCAGGAAATTTTGAGCATAATGAATTGTTTGAAAATGGCAATGAAGTCTGTTATCTTTATCAGAAACTTTGGAAAGACAATGGTATTTGAAAGTTTCTGATGAAAAATAAAAGTTGGCTTTTCCCTCAATATTGATTCAGACAAATTTACAGATACAGTATTACTGAAATAAATTATTTCAATTTTTCATTCTGAGAAAAAAGCTTTCTTCGAACTCACCATTCTATTTTTTTTAATTCAGCTATGATTGCTTTATTGATGCTGAACTCAATTTATGCCAATATTAGGAACTTTTAATTACCTGTCATAAGTCTGCCAAGCTAAACTTTTGTAAGTCTGCATTCTGGAAAAAATTTATAAAACCTTATTGGTGGTCCACGGAAAATATTTTGGGAGTTTGCTGGTTTACCAAAAATTTAATGGAAATATGCTGGTCCGCATGTCAAAAAAAAAGATTGGGGAACACTGATCTTGATTACATTGCTGTTTTTCAGGGATTTTAGACAGAAATTGGTCAGAACTTCGACTTGAGGAGCTTATTATTACTGTGATATTATTTTTCATTTCAGGAGGTTTAAGTTAATCAGCTCTAATGCCATGAAATCTTATTTTCTGCTCACTTGATCTCTTCTGAATTTTTCTCATTTCTCAATTCTTTTTTTTTAAAACTTCATCATAGTTAGGAGAAGAATAGCCAAGGAGTTCTACATCTAGTTGGGGGAAAAACTTGCAATTATCGCTGGTCACTCCAATTGATTAAGATTACTTACGAAGGCGTGTTGTCTTCTTTTCTTGTCATTTTGAAAAAAAAGAACATATAGTTTATAAAAAAGGAACCTCTGAACTGGTCAAAGATGTCCCAACAACTGACGCGAATCACCTTCAGTCTGATCGTTTATTTTTGTGTTGGAAAAATAGAATATGTTTAGACAATGAACCCGGTTCTTGATGCAAATTCCACTTCCCCATTCAAGGTAATTTCAAAGCTTCTGAGTGCATAAATAATTTAGAGTCTTCTGTTGCAGTACATGGAAGGAAATTTATTCCCGGGTTTTTATATATAATTCGGAATGATGAGCCAGTGGTTGCTGGGGTCGGTCTTTTCTTCTCTTTTTTCTTTATGTTGATTTTTTTGTGTGTCCTTCCGGAAGAAGGCGGATCACAGACCGGAAGAGCAGTTTCCGGTTTTTGGTGGGATGTAGATGTTGGATACCTTGGGGTATCCTACGGGCACCGAAACTTCTGTCCCCTGCGAAAATATGAATTGAAAGTTATGAAATGAGAAAGATCATTCAATGCTTGGAATTTATTGTGAGAGATGAATCATTCAAATTAAAAATTAAGGAGTTTAAAGCTAGAGAAAATGCTAAAAATCGCGCGCAGAAAGTGACTGTATTTTACTCTGAGTTACTCTTTGGAAAATCATTCTTGAAAATATTTATGCCAATGAAAAAATAATTGTAACATTTATACTTCCATTTTTATTTGAAAAAAAATCAGAATGATCATGAAATCCGAAAAATGGACTGTTATTTTTGAGTCTCATGAAATTAATGCCAATTTCATGAATTTGTGTTTAAAGTCTGTAAATTAATGAGAAGCACAGTGTCTGTAAATATAAATTTTTGATATTGAAATGAAACCAAACTAGTGAAATTTTAAAATCAGGCACTTGTGAGACTGAAAATTCAATCTCCCACCTACCAAAATTGGAATACTGCCTTCAGGAATTTATGGGAAAAGTATTTCATATTGCTGGGTTTTGTGTTATGCTTTTATTTAAGGAAAAAAAAAACTTGCCTTGATTGGCTGTCTTGAGTTACCCATGCATAATCCATAGTGATCAACTGCAGTTCCATTTGCAATTCCAGCAAATAATTGCACAGAAGTGGCATTCCAAGGTGCAAAACGTTTGTCAATGACTTCATTGAAAGGCTTTGGCCCCTTTTCTGTGTCAAATCCAATTGTCATCCATCTGTGACAATGGCAAGAAAAAAACATTTCTTTATAAATATAATGTGTACTATTTTTCTATGGGTATTGACACAGTAGAGATATAGGTGTCAAAAGTCTCAAAACTCAGAAGCAACTAGCTGAAAATAAATGATCTAGAAAGAGAAAGTTCTCAAAGAGAAAGTTCATGAAGGAGCCAAAAAATTACACACAAGGCAAGTGTGGTACCATACATAAGTGAAGGCACTTTTTTGATAGTAATTTCAATTTTTAGACTAGCATTTCTTAGCTTTAGTCATTTGGCACTTGCTTTTTTACGCTTTTATTGGTGATAATTGCGGCTTGCACTTTTGACCATTGCTCTTTTTAGTCTTTCAATTGCTCTTTCTAGTCTTTTAATTGCTCTTTCTAGTCTTTTAATTGCTTTTTCTAGTATTTTAATTGCTCTTTCTAGTCTTTTAATTGCTCTTTATAGTCTTTTAATTGTTCTTTCTAGTCTTGTAATTGCTCTTTCTAGTCTTTTAATTGCTCTTTATAGTCTTTTAATTGCTCTTTCTAGTCTTTTAATTGCTCTTTATAGTCTTTTAATTGCTCTCTCTAGTCTTTTAATTGCTCTTTCTAGTCTTTTAATTGCTCTTTCTAGTCTTTTAATTGCTCTTTCTAGTCTTTTAATTGCTTTTTATAGTCTTTCAATAAGTGATCTTCTTATACTGCACTTTTTCTTCTGGTGTTTGCTCTTTTGATACATTCTCTTTTCTTTCAACCCCATGAAAAATAAAAGAAAGACTCACAATGTGAGGGAAACTTGGTTTTGAATGTCCAGTCCAAGAATTGTAGAAACCTTTTGTTGGTCAAGCACTGACATGCATCCAGATAAATTTGTCTTTGGGTAGTAAGAAACATAAGCCATGCACATTTCTTCACCTGTACCCAATCCTCCAACTGTTGTTTTGTTTCTTGATGTTGAGTTCAATGTGCATTCTTAGGGGGGAGAATTCGAAGAAAATTCAAGATTAATTGTGTATTCCAAGGTTAAACTTTCATCATTCGAAAGGTTCTTCAAATGTTTTCTAAACATGTTCCATGACTAAATCCAAAGTTTTTTTGATAATATGCTGTAATATTTTCAAGCTAGTGAAATAATGTCTCAAAATAAACTTATAAAAAATCCACATTATTTTAATATTTTACCAGGTATAGTCTGCACTCAGCTGAAGTAAGTTAGAAAATTTCAGGAAGATTCTCTCTGCTACTTTTCACCATTTTTTTCCGTGTACATTTTGTGCAAAAATTTGTAGCGGAAACTCGTCAGGATTTCCCCAAGTGTCAACTTATAAAAAATTCGAATGTTCAATTTTTTCAGTATGAGTTATGAGCGTATGACTCATAGTGAATCTATTTTGACACGATTCGAAATTGGGAATTTTTTCTACAGTATATACTTGAATTAGATTCTCCTGTGCGTCTTTTTTTATCTTGGTTTTTTCTTCATCAAAATTTATCCTGGCATCAAAAGAGAATGATGATGTCAAAGAACTGGGTTTTGCTGGCAGTGGTCTCAACTTTTGGCACATTCTTCATGATTTTCATGTTAACATAAGTTTCTTACCGAGTATAAGTAAATCTCCGCGTAAAACTCTCCTCGTGCGTCTGTAAGGGCGGTTTTCTTGGTAATTGAAATCATAATTTTCATCGTTCTGAATCCAAGGTAGTTCTGTTCCGTTCCTAAATTGCCTCAATCTGAGTTTGGAGCCTGAAATTTTTTTTAGAAAAACCTGAAATATACAAATAAGAACGGGAATGCGAATAAATGACAGATTACCTAAAAGATGCGAATGTAAAGTTCCAGCAAAAAGTTGAATTCCTCTCGCTGGTAAAGCAGCTTTTGTGCATTCTGATGAACAGAAACCTGTGCTCATGAAAGCCTTTTGTCCCGGTGGTATCATCTGAAATTTTAGAATGTAATGAAAAACTTGATAAAATGCATTTCTTAAGAATCCATTTCAAGACATAGAGTTGACCAGGAAAATCAAGACTTGAGGTTTCAGCATCTTCTGAATGGTTTAGGATTCAAGCCATATAATGCATTGAAAGCTACGTCAAAGTTCAGCGCAGCCAATTCTAATATAAGTTTTATCTAATTTCAATAAGAGTGCAAAGAACTAAAATTGTATTAATGCAGGAGAAATTGAGCAAATTCAATTAAAACAATGGATACATTTTGAAGGCTCTAGCAAAGAAACAATGTGATTTTGATCGTAGTGAAATTGAGTTGAAAAAATTTATATAATTATGTAGCATCAATTTTTCCTTGTGTATCCTTCCAATACATATATCAATGAAAATAATACGGTATACATAATATGGAGGGAAAATTTTGCTATTTCCAACTTTTCCTCCATAGCAGTCTTTGAAGAGAAAAATTCTGAATCAATATTTATAGCTCACAGCAGAGTAAAAAATTGCTTTAAACATACACTATATTTTGTAAATATTGCTGTTAGGTATTCGGAAAGGCATATATTCTAAGGTACAGTACCATATTTACTTGAGTACCACACACCCTTGAGTAAGGCGCGCACAGGGGTTTTTCAGTTGAAAATTTTGCAAAAATCTTATCCCCAAGTAAGACGCGCACCCCAATTTTCTGTAAATCTAAAAACCATAAAATTTCAAAAATAAAAATAAAAATTTTGACTTCAGGCATGAATTGGAACAAAAATCTAATCAATTTTTAACTTTTTCAGTACAAAAATGTTTTATTCTTATATTTGTTCCAAATTTCTCCATTATAATTAAGTATAATGCACACATAACTTCCTAAAACTTCTTGAAAATGNAAGTATAATGCACACATAACTTCCTAAAACTTCTCAAAAATGTTGTACCCGCTTATGACACGCACCCCTTTTTTCCTTCTGAAATTTGGGAAAAAAGGTGCGCGTGGTACTTGAGTAAATACGGTATATGCATGAAATGTTCTGATTTGAACATAATACAAAACTTGAATTCAAGAAGAAACTGCAAATGGACACATTAAGTGACCTAAAAACTAGCTCACCTGAACCAGCAGAGGTACCTACATTATCCAACCAATTAACAGTAATCTTACTAAAACTTTTCAGTATAGGGAACTATAAATCAAACATTCAAATGACAAAGAAACTACACTAAGAAGGAACTCCTGTTTTTCCACCAAGAGTTTAGTCTTTCATCATTGAAATGGTAGAACATCAAAGTTATCCCTTCAGATGGATGTGTACCGTGCAATAACAGTTTTTCAAAATTTTACAAAGAAATCAAGGTGCACATCTTATTCCAGGGGACCTAGTACTTAACTAAATACAGTATTCATTTCTAGAGCCTCAAAGTGCCATTCAGGAAATACCACAGCATGCAGCTTTTAGTTTGACAAACTCTGTTCTGGTCCACACTGTAAATCAGTGTTTCCCACCCTTTGGTCCACAGGACAGCGCTGCTCCACAGAATTTTTTGCCAGTCTCAGAGAAATTTTCTTCAGCATAATAAATTTATCAAAAGTAGCAATGAAGTCTGTTCTCATTGGAATTTTTGGAAAGGCAATGGCAGTTGAAATTATTTCTTGAAAAATGAAAGTTGACTTTTCTTCCTAAAAAACTTCAGACAAATTTTCACCAGATGAAATAAGCTATACCAATTTTTTGTTCTGAGAAACTTTTCCATAAGCCCGCATTTCTAGTTTCTTCAAGACATTACACTATAACTGCTTCATTGGTTCTTGAATTAATGATTTTAAAAAAGAAACTTTTTGAAGACCTGTCATAAAGTCTTTCAAACAAAACTTTTGGAGTCTGCAAACATTTTATGAAACTTTGCCAGTCTGCAGAAAAATTGTTGGCAATTCCCCAGTCCACAAAAAAAATGTATGCCAATTTGCCAGTCATGTTTATGCAGGCCCAGAAATGGTGGGGAGCACTGCTGTAAATCATCCTTTACCTGCAGGGGCCCATAGGTCAAACCAATTTCCATAATGGCTGCATTGGTTGGTCTGGGTCGATCTGAATAAAGCATGGAGATTCCTGAAGAGTCCTTGAACTCCTTTTTCTCAGCATTGTCATAGTGCACCTCCAAGCGGTAAAACTTGGGCCCTTCACTGGCCAATGGGATTGGGTAACCCACGTTTCTGGGGTACATGAATCCCTGAAAGAAATTTTGTGCTATTGAATCATTGAGACAGGCATGACATTGAATCTACATTCAAAAATGCATATATAAGGGTTTGCACCATGTACATCAGTGAATGTTCAATTTATGTACCATACATTTGTTACTGTAAAATTATTAACTTGAATCAATGTTATAATGAAATGCTTTTTCTACTGGTTTTTTTTTTACAATTGTCTACCTTTAGACTGATTTTTTTTTTCAAATTAAAATTACTGGATTTCATGCTTTGGACAACCTATGTAAACATCACTCTAAAAATAATCAACATGTCTTCAATCTTTTTTGGGGTTTAGTTTTGGCCTTTTGGGGGGTTTATAACACTGCTGGTTTTTTAAAAATCATCCCACCCAACCCTGCTTCCTAAGTTGTCATTTGTTTCAAAATTGAAATCCTCGCCTAGAATTAAAATGTTTGGTTTTTTTAAAAGAGGTTGATCTTGCCAACACTGAATGATTCAATAGCACAAACATTGCTCTTCAATCAGTGATTAGAAAGGCATATTTTGTGTGTTTATAATTAATGAATTTCAATAAATCTTCACCATAGGGATTTAAGGAAAAGCTTCTTTGAAATAAATAAAAAATAGCAAAATTAAACTCAAATTCATTCAAACTTAACAATTATCTCATTCTTTCAAGATATAATTTCCCTCTGAAAAAGATTAACTTGGAAGTTTGATTCAGAAAAAGTTATGTTTATTTTGTCAACATAAGCTTTTGAAAAATGTACTCTGAAGTTGATAACACATCAGTTTTGTCTGGGTTCACTCTCTGAGTTCACTCTAAAAGCAATTTTGAAAAACAATAATATTCTGCTGCAATTTATTTCCTAATGCATGTGCCCTTTTGCAGTGCGAAACTCAAAATGGTATTTGAGTCTTAATATAATGCATTTATCATTTACAGTATTTTGACATGCATGTAAAACCAATTATCATCAGTCAGAAAGTTTGACAATATCTTTTTACTCTGAAGACAAACCTTTTCTCTTTTAAAAAAACCTGGAAAGCTCATTTGATTGTTCAACATGATATGAAAGCACCCTTTTTCCATTGAAATGAAATTGAAATACAGTATTTTTTTTAAATAAAATTGAAATACAGTATTTTTTAAATAAAATGTAAATACAGTATTTTTTGAATAAAATTGAAATACAGTATTTTTTTAATAAAAATACTCCTAAAAGTTTAACGATGAACTAACCTTGGACCCAATAGCCCAGGCTTGAAACATGCGGATGCACTTGAGCCAGAGCATAGTGGTTGTTGGGTCAGCGGTGTAGCACGGCCGGATGACTTTCTTGGCTGCGAAATTATTCATGCTGATCTTCTCGTCTTCACTTAGTCCATCACATTCGTAAATGACCATGTGATGAACACGCTTTTCATTGCCAGGGGTAATTAATGGTACGTACTGGGAAAAATAAAAATAATATGTATCTTAAAGAAAAATTCTATATCTGATACTTGAAGAATGTGTGACCCAAAAATAGTTTAAAAGAAATCGAATTTTTACTCAAGAAACATCCAAAATGTTTTCTGGAGCTTTTAAGGATAGATAATAAAATCTTGGATGCCTGAACCATAAATACTCTCACCAAAAGCTACCTCGGACTCAAGAAAAGCAGTGTCTGTATGGCATCAGCAATTTTGTCATTATATTTTTAGTCCAGTATACAGTGGCCCCCGCCTAACAGACCTCCTGTGTAATGGATTTTTGCCATACAGACCAGCTCTGCAAGCAGTTTTTCCTCCCGCCCAATGGACAAAATCCACCAAACAGACTTTTTTTGGTTTAAAATTAGTGTTGAAAATTGAAATTTTTAATTTTTAATGTAATTGAATCTGTGTAAAGGACTTTTTGTCTAACAGACTTGTCAATTGTACAAATCAAGTCCGTTAGACAGGGGTTGACCGTACTGTACATTCAAAATTATTTCTTGGATGAAATGCAATAGATGAATGCTACTTTCTTTCTATTGTCTGATATTTCTGAACCACAAATAGAGCCACCAAACTCAACTCAGACTCAAGAAATCTAAAATGAGGCAACAAAAATTGTATTACATAGCTTTTATTTATTAAAAATTGGTTCCTGAAAGGCAATGCAATGTAAATGTCAAACATCAATCACCGAAATTGCAAAATAATCCAAAGCCTTAACTTATACCTAAGCCAAGCATAACTAAAGAAAATGCGAATCTTGACTCAAGAGGTGTTCATATGTTACACACACAAAAAATTGTTTTCAAAATTAAGAATTTTGAATGTTGGACTCACCCCAACATAATGCAGTGGCTTGTCAAATGAAATACCCTTGTGTATTGAGCACATGTAAGAGGTGCTCATGTTTCCTGGGATGGTGACTGGAGGGTTTGTTATGTTGAAGGTTTTGTAACTCTTGAAGACAGAGCTTTCAGCATCACCAACTGTACAAAAGATATACAATACAATATTTTCTTCATTTTCAATTGAATTTTTGCTTTAAAATGTGATTCATTATTTGGGGGGATGCTATTTCAGTGCGCATGCATACAAACTGTTTGATATTGGTTCAAATGCTGTACAATAGTTGTTATGCACAGTTTCTGATTGTTCACCAGATTTGGAAAATACTGGTGCCATATACCCAAGATAAACCATGCACAAAATTGGCATTAGTCAAGAAGGAAGACAGCAAATTCATCAAAGATAGGTCTTGAATGAAGAGCATACTCAGCTATCAGCAGTTAAGCACTGATAAATCATCAAAACACCAATCTTTAATTGTTTGTGCTGGGTTTGCCCTCCTCAAGGTTCGAAAAGTCAATTTATTTCCTTTTTATTGCGTAATGTACCGTATTTGCTCATTTGTAATTTAAATTTCTGAGAGATATCCCTTTTTTGATGATTCATAATCAATTTTGGTATGACCTGTCCATTCGTGATGTGGACAGTGACGCTGAAGTGACCGGTTTTGAGAACTGCTTTTACGGTTTATTAATTTGAATGTAGATGTCGCTCGATGTACAAATATGTACTTTTCCGATGCAAGTAAGCCTTTTCTTCGGCGATAATTTATTATAGATTTCGGCATCTCATAACCGCGAAAAACTAATGTCTTCAGAAAATTCTTACTTACGATTAGGAGGATCCAGCAAATAAACCGACATTGATCCTCGGTTTTTTGAATGGTACTTCAATTCGTCATTCGTCTTTCGATCCAGTTCTCCGAGTCCGAAGATCAATTTTGTCAATTCATTCTGGGTGCAAATGGTTAATAATTTATTTCAAAATATATTTTTTCAACTCTCACCGTCAGAATCAAGTCTTGCTTGGTGTCGCAGGTATTTAATGTTCTGTTGAATTTGCATCCCGTGTGGGTTCCATTGTCAAAAGCGGATTCCAAAATTGTGTTTTGCTGCGTGTCTAAAGTCGGGGCTCCATCTGCGGATTGTCCAAATCTGTCCTGTTCAAGCCCAAAAATGGCGATATATTCTCAGGAGAATTGCGAAATAAATTTGTGAATTTTTGCAGACGTGCTGGTACAGATATTCGAACTTGCCTCCAACATGGACTTTCCTTTCGAGTCCACCCAACACGTCATTATGTCTGCCCCCTTCATTCCACCTGACGGACTGAATCCGATTCCAAGCCAAGACGATGTTACATTGGCTATTAATTCAATTTGTATGCTTTTCATGGTTTCATTGTAGGCCCAGTAGATGTCGTATCTGGGATTCTGCATTGCTATCACGTGACGTCGAACCTGGCATTGCGACAGCGACGTCAATAACGTTGCTGTCAGAATCAGCAAGACGAACATTTCCATTTCTGGGAATATAATTTTTTTTAATTTTATGAATCTGGGATTTGAAAGAAGGGTAACACTGACAATATAAATTTTAAAAAGTGCTTATATGAGTGAGACCCCAAGATGCGGACATAATTGGTGCATCAAGACTTTCAAGAGTGTCCATGAGTCAAAATGTCCCTAAGTTGAGTCTCATTATCCCTTAGACTTACTTTACATAATTTTAATTGGTGTTTCATGGACAAAATACTCACCATAATTCCATGAATATAAAAATTGTCTCCCAATTTAAACTGATTCAATCAATATATTTGAACACAATTTGGACATTTGGAGAATTGAATACTGATACATCTGCACAGTACATAGAAATGTTGGCATTCTCAGTAAAAAATGACATTCAAGTGAAAAAGAGAAAAGAAAGTCCCTCTAAGATGGAGGTAATTTTTTTTGAAATTAGCTAAATGGATGGTAAATTGGTGAGAGAAATGCCCAAGAATTTTTCTTGAGTTAATTTTAGGGTTGGAAATATCTGTTTCTTGTAATTTTTCCTGAAACTTATTTGCAATTTTATCACAAAATGTCCCTATGTTGAGTCAGTGTTGGGCCTTTTTTATTAATTTTTTATGGGAAAATAAAAGTCCCTATATATGTTGAATTGTCCACATAATGAGGTGTCTGCACGTGGGGATTTCACTGTAAATAAAATTTTATAGAATTTCCTTCCGTTTTTCAAAGGAGCCAAATTTCTGTTAAAATGAAAATGAGACACAGTATGACAATAACGATCACCAAGTTGAGTAGAAGTGAAACTCATACAGGTTCGGATGTTATTCTACTGGGGAACTTGAACATGACAGACGGGTAGGATTTTCTGGTTGCGTGACCTGCTGGTTTTATTTTTGTCATTCCCGTTTCTTTTATTCCAATAATGAGCAAATGACACTCGGAACATTCGATTTCCATGAAAATGTAAAATCCTGGGTCACGTTATCCGCGATTTCCGAGAAAAGGGGGTTGCTACCAAATTCTATTCAAAATTTTTGTCAAAAATGAGGATAGAGAAAAACAAAAACGCGATGGAAACCGAACGTTTTTTTTTTTTTTTTTTTTTTTTAGTAATTATTCGCTGATGTTTTCAGTAATTAGGTCTTGATACAAAAAAGGGGGCAAAATATTTTTGCATTCACTTGTTTCCCTTTTTTCGACCAACACCGCGCGGAACTAGGACAGGAAAGAATTGAAATTAGTGGCTCGTCTTATAAAAAATTTAAGGCACTTTTTAAATTTATTTTGAAATCTCTTTGAAAGATTTACCCGAAAAAAATTGAGAGAGCGTTTTCCGGGTGCTTTTTTGCTAATCCTCTGAAGGCGCTCGGAACTAGGACAAGAGTTTTGTGCCCCTTTTGACCATTCTTCAAAAAGGATATTTAAACTATTTTTAAGAGCTTTCTTTTCTCAAGTGCCGGCGAAAAACCATACTGCGAAAAACCAACAAATTAAAATAGAACTTGGAAGAGTTAGTTCCACGTCGATTTTTGACATGATTGTATGTCAAACCATTATCAAAACATAATCATTTAAAAGTTCGGTCTAATTTTTTTACGCCCTTTGTATAGTTATTTAAAATCAAGTTTTCTTTCTGTTGAAAAAAATTTAACGTACAGTATAATATTGAGGAAGCACGGCAATACTAAAATTCTATGAAATTTTGTGACAGTCCCTTCTTGAAATCGGGCATTCATCGTTTGCAAAGGACGAAAACGCGAATCGTGGTCATAATTATTTGATGTTCCGTGCCAGTGATTTCCGGTTGTTCCACTCTTGAGTTCCGGCATTTTTTGAACGGAAGCTTGCTGATGACTCATTTGTATCCTGGTTCACGGACAGTCAACCAATTGGGTGATTATGATTGCTCGGAACTGCTTTATTTAGATACTGTATATAAATATAGTGATCTATCACACATTCAGCAAAATATCTCACATTTTCAAAAAGTGCGTTTGCAATAAAGAATGAAACATACAGTGAGACTCCCACATGTGATATTCGCTGATGTTTTCAGTAATCAGGTCTTGATACAAAAAAAGGGGGCAAATATTTTTGCATTCACTTGTTTCCCTTTTTTCGACCAACACCGCGCGGAACTAGGACAGGAAAGAATTGAAATTAGTGGCTCGTCTTATAAAAAATTCAAGGCACTTTTTAAATTTATTTTGAAATCTCTTTGAAATATTTACCCGAAAAAAAAATTGAGAGAGCGTTTTCTGGGTGCTTTTTTGCTAATCCTCTGAAGGCGCTCGGAACTAGGACAAGAGTTTTGTGCCCCTTTTCACCATTCTTCAAAAAGGATATTTAAACTATTTTTAAGAGCTTTCTTTTCTCAAGTGCCTGCGAAAAACCATACTGCGAAAAACCAACAAATTAAAATAGAACTTGGAAGATTTAATTCCACGTCGATTTTTGACATGATTGTATGTCAAACCATTAGCAAAACAGAATCATTTAAAAGTCGGTCTAATTTTTTAAAAATTTTTACGCCCTTTGTATAGTTATTTAAAATCAAGTTTTCTTTCTGTTGGAAAAAAATTGAACGTACAGTACAATATTGAGGAAGCACGGCAATACTAAAATTCTATGAAATTTTGTGACAGACCCTTCTTGAAATCGGGCATTCATCGTTTCCAAAGGACGAAAACGCGAATCGTGTTCATAATTATTTGATGTTCCGTGCCAGTGATTTCCGGTTGTTCCACTCTTGAGTTCCGGCATTTTTTGAACGGAAGCTTGCTGATGACTCATTTGTATCCTGGTTCACGGACAGTCAACCAATTGGGTGATTATGATTGCTCGGAACTGCTTTATTTAGATACTGTATATAAATATAGTGATCTATCACACATTCAGCAAAATATCTCACATTTTCAAAAAGTGCGTTTGCAATAAAGAATGAAACATACAGTGAGACTCCCACATGTGGATACCTCAACACATGGAAAATTTGACATGGGGACACTTATTTTATCATTAAAAAATAATAAAAATGGTCCAAAATGAGGACACTGACTCAAAATACGGACATTTTGTTAAAATTGCTAATACATTTCAGGCCAAATTACGAGAAACACATATTTCCAACCCTAAAATTGGTGTAAGAAAAGTTCTTGGGCATTTCTCTCACCAATTTATCATCCATTTAGCTAATTTAAAAAAATCACCTCCGGCAGAGAGAGACTTCCTTTTCTCTTTTTCACTTGAATATTATTTTTACAGAGAATGTCAACATTTCTATGTACTGTGCAGAGGTATCAGTATTCAATTCCCGAAATGCCCATTTTTTGTTGAAATATATTTATTGGAATCAGTTTAAATTGGGAGACAACTTTTATTTTCATGGAATTATGGTGAGTATTTTGTGCATAAAACACCAATGAAAAATTATATTATGTAAGTCTAAGGGAAAATGAGACTCAACTTAGGGACATTTAGACTTGGGGACACTCTTGATGCACCCACATCTTGGGGTCTCACTGTACCTTGTTTCATGTATTTTCCGGCTCCTGGATATTTATTTCTGGAAATATGGGCCAAGTTTCCATTCAAGCCTGAATTAATGACTTCTTGAAATACAGTACAGTGGGCCCTCGACTTACAACGGGCCCATGTTACGTCGGTTTCAATTTACGACGCTTTCTTTAATTAAAAAAACCCCCGACTTACGTCAGGGTTTCATGATACGACAGCTTCTTAAGTTCTTCAGCTCCACACAAATTTAAAAATTTCTTGTTGAAACATATGATCGATTAAAATGATGCACTTCCATGGGAAAAAATTAACTATACCTAATCGAGGACTGGAGAGGAGCAACTAAACATATGGAATTTTTTATAAATAAAATGTAAAAATACTGTATGCAAAAAATGTATAAAAAATAAAATTAAAAAAAATTGTTTAAAGAATCCCACCAGCCTTTTGGAATTTCTTGAAATTCCGATGGATCAAAGATAGTTTCATTCCTGGAAAATCATTATAAAAACAGCATTCCATTTTTTAATGCTGTTTTTATAACTTGCTGATTTTACTTATGGCAATCGCATGAGGCAATAAAACAAAATAGATTCGCACTTCATCAGCAGACAATCTTCTGAATTATCTTGCCCGAATTTTAAAATTAAAATTAATGAAAATTTTCCACCAATTTTATTTGAAAACATCTCGAATTTTCCAGTTTGACTGAGAGATCGCTTTTTTTTTATTTCAAGACTGGAGCAAGAAAAAAATCAAGCTCAGAGAGTTCTTTTGTGTTTCTGCTAATTTTGTGGGTACCCATATGGTATGAAAAGGTTTTTGCAAAAATTCTCCTGAACAACAATACTCTTCATTCTTCCCAACACTTCTTTTTCAAAAGCAAATTTTGTTAATGCTTTGAACAAGGTGAATTGGTGCTGCTTGACTTCATTCATTAAATTTTCTTGCTTTGAATGAACTCATCGTATTTTGAACATTAAAAACATAAAAAATGGAGCTTTAAATGTGAATATAATATTCAGCTGAATATTAAATTGCAGTATTTTATTGCCAAAAAATGTACAGTATTTTTTTTCTGGAACAAATTAATTTTTTCATAATGTAACCTTAAGGGAAATAGGGTTTCAACTTACAACAGCCCCATGTTATGACATCCATCCTGGAATGGATTGATGACGTAAGATGGGGGCCCACTGTACTGAGTAACTTTTTTGAATAGTACTGAATACAGTGAGAGATCCTTATCACAAAAAGAGCACAAACACCGAAAACACATTACTGCCAAACACTATCTCTCCCACAGATCACATAAAACCGCAAGGACACGACCCTAAGCCAAACCGGGGAAGCACATCCAACAAACCGAACAAGGGGAACCTAACGGACCCCAACCGGGAACAACATCCGCCGCAGAAACACAAGAGAACCTAACGGGACCCAGGGTCAACAGCACCAGCACTTAAGCGCGCAAAAAGGGACAACGCTTC